CATTTAATATCGTTGTTCTTCTTACATAGCCGAGAAATTTGAACTGAACAATGATTGTGCCCTTACGGGTTGCAATGGTGAAGCCAACTTTTGGCGGGTCAGCCAAATTATTGCTGCGAGTCACTAAGTGACCCGTGGGTCATAGGTTGCCGACCACTGGACTAGACAGAGGTGAGAGCTATGATGTTAGGAAACATAATTGACAGGAAAACATGTACAACAGGCATAAAACATAAACATATTTTAAAATGTATAAATAATTGTTACTATTGTAATGCTAGGAGTGTTAGAAAACAAAATGTACAAGTTCAAAGTTGTTGTGGAAACTGAGGATTTTGATGTTATGGGTATCACTGAGACTTGGTTGGATTTGAACAATTTTGATGAAATTTTTGTTGAAATACCAGGCTACAGATTATTTCCTAGAGATAGAGTATTGAAAAAAGAGGGAGGAGCAGCTTTATATGTGAGGAGTGAATTGTATCCTGTTGAGTTAGAATATATTAAAGATGGTAAAACTGAGGTTGAGTTAGTTTGGGCTTGTAATAGTGGATATAAAGGGAAATGTCTTCTAATTGGGATCTGTTATAGAGCACAAGGTCAGAATGTAGAAGTTACTGAAAAACTGTATAATAAGATCAGAATGTAGATGAAAAAGAAAATGTTACTATGGGAGATTTTAATTTCAGAAGTATTGATTGGGAAAATTTCAAGTCTGACAGTGAGAGGGATAGATTTTTAAAAATTGTTCAGGATACTTTATACACCAACTGATGATGGAACCTACAATAGAGAAAGCTATATTAGATTTAATATTAGCATCCAATGTGAATATTGTTGCGTCAGCAAGGTCACGTGACTAGTATCATGCCACTTCTTTCTCGAACCTTCGTGAATTGTCGAGAGATTACTAGATTGGGGGTAGTCTGGTATATATAAGATGGTCACAACGTGACGGGACAATGTGTAGGTAATGAGTAATTGAACTGCAGTCAGAGAGTGTGTAATTGAGTATTGTCAAGCACTAGCACGCGAGACATTCTAGCGTTTGTTATAGAACGACTGTTGAAATTAAGTGTATCGGTAAAGTTGTATTCGGTAAGAATAAACCAGTTTTATTTAAGGAAGGACTTGTGTCGCTAAAGTTTCGTGGGAACGAATTTACGGAAAATTAAGTAACAACTGGAGGCGTAACAATATTATAGACAGAGTTGTGGTTGATGAGCATTTAAGTACGAGCAACCATTATGCTACTAGATGTGAGATTTTACTACATGTGGAATAGTAGCCTGATTCCAAATTTGATGGAATGAAACATCATCTAGATTCTGCAGATCGGACTAAATAGTTGGGAGGAGATCTTGAACAGAGGTGGGAAGCATTTAGGGAAAAATTGATACGCATACAGAACATACATACCCTAGAGTAAAAAAAGGGCAATCGAGCAGAACAAGCCAGTATGGTTTAGTAAAGGTTAAAGAGATCATATTAGGGATAAACATAATAAATTCAAGAAATTTAAACTTTCTGGAAATATTAAGGACTTGGAGGACTATAGAAAATTAAGAGAGCTGGTTAAAAAGGAAGTTAACTTTTTCAGCACGGGCTCAGTCCCTGGGACCGATCTCATAACCATCTTATGCTTGTTATAGTTTCATGCTATAACTTTTAAATTAGTAAGCATATGTTAACAAAATTTGATCAATTTTTTTTATTAAGTCTTAAGCAATGTTTTTCTCTTGCCTTTTTTTTGCATGTTGTCTATCCAACATGGAAAGTAATTTTCATTTTAAGATTAAAAATACTTTTATGCATCAGAAAATTTTCAAATTTCATATGCAAAATCTTTATAATATCCAGATAGTTATCAAATGTTTCATACGAAAAAACTTTATATTTTATCTGTTATTTTCACTAATGAATAATTGTACAGGTTTGGTAGATTTGACTGATCTCATAACCACCATAAAAAATTAGGAAATAAATATAAATTATGCCTCTTTCATTCTAGAATGACTACAGATTATAACGTAAAAACATAAATGTTTAGACTAAATAGCTTAAATCTCATAACATTATACATTTATATATATTTATTAGTTTTATTATATTGACCTTTCAGCCATGCCTGGCTAACAATACAGAGGTTACAATAACATAGCACATATGCTCTCATGTTACCATATCCAATAACATAAAACTGACTTTTAGTCTTCACAAAGTGACCTGTCTTGGCTGTGTTTTAGTAGACTAGTATTTTATCAAATACAGTCACATTTCAATTATTATACATTATATATGTATATAGATTATTGCTATTTAGAAATAAGTTCTTAAACTTATTTTTCTTAAAACAGAGAACAGTAAATAAAGTAGTAAAGCAAACAGTTATCTCTTCTAGTTACGACCTTTGTACTCGGTTGCTGATTGATGTAGGTTGTTAAGCCTTTTAAAATTTTGCACATGGAGGATATGCAACAAAATAATTTTTTTTCAGGTTTTATATATACAGTTGAATAACCATAAAATCATAAATTACTATATCAATACCATAGAATTCCACTATAATTTATCAATCTTAATAACTAAGCTGTATCTGGGTCTGAAAAAAATATGAAATTTCAAGTAGACTAAAGACATAACCTACCTCTTTGAAATCTTGGTTTGAAACATGAAAATGGCTGAGAATGCCACTAGGGGGAGATTCTGAGCTTTCAATTAGTTATTGACATGTCAAATATTGAATTAAGTGTATATAAGTAACCATTTCCAAAAATGGAAAGAGGTGAGTGGGGCCACTGTGTTTGATTTGCTTAAAATAGTGGTATCTCAGCAAATAGAAAAGATAGGAGGTTCAGATTTTATATCATAGCTTGTCAATATCGGTAATTTGAATTTCTAATTCATAAGAAACTACAGACTTTGTATTTGGACATCACAAACATCTTATTTGAACTAAAGCTGTATTCAATACCGTGTAACACACAAAAATCAATATTTAGCATTTTTTTTAAATATTTACTTTTAAATTAAGAAATTAAATAATGTACAATACTAAAATTTGAATTATAATCTACAGTTTGATACCAAACTTACTGACATTAATTCATGAAATAGTAGTTCAATAGTATTTTGAATGCAAATCAACAAACGCGACCCGTACGGTGATGGTTAAAAGGGCAAAAACTGTGTATGAAAAAGGGTTGGCTGAGAGAGTTAAAGAAAACAAACAGGTATATGATGGGTAAGCAAACTGTTAGGATGTTCTCTTCAGTTATTATGAAGGAATATACAAGTATTATGCCTCAACCACAGCACTTAATGTATGGGGAAAATATTGGTGTAAAAGATATCATTTAAGTACCTAAACTGTAAGATAAAAATTGGGAAACCTTAAAATTGATAAATCCTCTGGACCAGACAACTTTTATCCCAGAGTTTTAAAGGAACTTAAAGATTTTGTTTGTGAATCATTAGATAATATCTGTTATAGGTCATAGAGTAGTGGAAGATTAGAAGTTGGCTAATGTTAGTCCAATATTTAAAGGTGATAAATATTGTCCAGGAAATTACAGGCCAGTTAGTCTTACATCAGTAGTTGGAAAGATGTTGGAGAGTGTGATTACAGACGCATTGCAGAGTCACTTAAAGCAGTTTGATATAGTGTCAAAGACCCAGTGTGGTTTCATTAAGGGAAAGTCTTGTTTAACAAATCTTCTGACATTCTTTGAAGATATTACTGCAAGAGTTGATGAAGGAAATACTGTGGATTTTTAGAAAGCATTTGATAAGGTGCCCTATAAAAGACTTGCTACAATAATTAAATCTGTGGGTATGGGGGAAATGTTATAGGATAGAAAATTGGCTGAAGAGTAGAAAGCAGAGGGTAGTAATAAATGGAGTTAGAACTGACTGGATCACAGTTACAAGTGGTGTGACTCAGGGCTCTGTGTTGGGTCCTCTGGTGTTTATGATTTATATTAATGATACTGACTCTGGAATGACTAACAAAATTTTGAAGTTTGCATATGACATTAAGATTTTTGGGGTGGCTAACTGTATCAAAGATGCTGCAGACTTACAGGGAGATTTAGATCATTTGATGCATTGGGACAATACGTGGCAGATGATGTTTAACTATCCAAAATGTAAGGTGATGCATGTAGGTTTTCACAATTAAAATTATTGTTACAATTTAAATGGGAATACATTAAATACTGTGATTGAAGAAAACAATTTTGGTGTTGTGATCAAAAAATCACTTAAGTCATCTAAACAGTGTTGAGCTCCATTCTTCAAGAAGGACATTGAATTGTTGGAGAGAAGAACCACTACGATGATACTTGGGATGTTGGGATTGTCCTATGAGGAGAGACTAAATCTCTAAACTATTTTTCTCTGGAGAAGAGAAAAGTCAAAGGGGATTGAGGTGTTTAAGATTATTAAGGGTATTGATAATATAGATCCATCAAACTTTTTCGTGTTTAGCAGTGAAAACAATAGGACAAGGGGTCATAAATTGAAATTTTGGCTGCATAGGAGTCATCTGTAGTTTAGATAGTGTTACTTTTCAAACAGGGTAGTTGGCTTTTGGAATGAGCTGCCTTCAAGGGTGGTAGAAAATTTAACAGAGTACAAAGAAAGGTTAGATGAATACACGAGTAGTAAGGGGTGGTTACAGATGGGAGATGGAAGGGACATCCTTGATGGGCTAATAAGCTCCTTTTTGTTCCTTTAAAATTTTACAAATTTATGAATTTATAATAAACATAATAGTCCAAGATTTCCCTAAAAATTAAACAAATTAGATGCAGTTAACTTTAAGTACTGGAAGGTAAATCTAGTTAACTTTAAGTACTGGAAGGTAGTTACCACAGTAATCTAAGATTTTGCCAATACCTAAAACAAGTTATTAATCCAGTAAAAGGTAGGTATAGGAAATAATACTGCTATAAGACATCATTAAAGAAAATATAAAATTCTCAAATAAAATGACATACTTCAAAACAAAGAATTAAGTAAAAGAAAAAAAAAACTTACCAACTTCTTTTGAATTGCTCTTTCAAAGCTTTTCTAGATTAATATACTACAGAATTGAAACAAACAGTAAAACTTCTTGGAAGTTAGTTTTGAATTTCATGGAGAAAAGTTACCAAACTTCAAAGCTTCCACATTAAGTTGAGCTTTAACAAATTATCTTTGTTTGTAGCTAACCCTACAATTTACACTCAGGATTTCTGTAACATGAGTAATGTTGATAGACCTAGTGAATCATCCAGGGGACATAGTTTATTTATAACCTGATCAAAAGGGATAATATTAACCTTAACGTATATTTTTACTTTGGATGGATATTTATAATTTGAATAAAAAGAATAACATGCACATGATTGTTCTGGCAGGGTAATAGATGTTATTACTCTGATAAAGAACATAGAACAGCTAACCACACACATTAGGTTGGTGAGAATATAAACATCCTAAAAATGTTAATATATTAATATTAAAACATTCCTGAAGGAGCAACGTTTACCTTGATATCTTCTCTGACTGAGCTACTATCTCTTTCTAATACTGAAGTTTCCACTGATGTTGTTTTTGTAGGCATGCTCCAATTGTTGTTACTGATAATACCTGAACTTGTTAAAGAATTTCTCTTCTTTTCTACTGATGGTGGTGAAGATTGTTCTTTTTTAATTTGGAGAAATGAAAGCCGTTTAACACATACTGTATAAGAGAAATTATGTGTGTTTAAAACATCAGAAATGTATGATAAAAATATAATTATATAACCATTAGAACCTAAAACCACAGGTTTCATACTCAGAAAAGCTCACAAATTTTTATGCTGAAAAGATATAAATGAATACTCGTAAACACCCATAAATATTTGTTGGATTAAAGATATGATAACTTAACAAATGGAATCTAGAATCATATTATTCTGTCAGGTGAAGAAAGAAAATTAACATATCTTTACTTTTAGAGATTATTATGGATATAATTCTGAACTATACCGAATAAATTCAAACACAGATTTGAGCAAAAGTTTAACTTTAATAAGTTAGCTACATTTAGAAACTTCTTAGATATACATACACATAAAATGCATATCAAGAAATACATTTTTTTAAATAAATAATAATGCATATTTTCATAGCTTTTGACACTAATGTTTCCTTATCTAAAAATAAACAAGAGGGAATCCTCAATAGCCACAGCACTTGAAATTATTTTCGGCAGGATTAGAGTAAATTAATCTTCAAGACTTTTTTCCTTTTTATTAACTACATTTTGTACACCAGCAACACCAAGTGCAGGGCACACACATATACCTGATTTGATTTATAAGTCATCAGGATCTCTACCAGCCTACCCTTAAATTCAAATTCTTTAAGGCAGGATTAGAGTAAATTAATCTATGAGACCTTGGGTGTGGTCAAATATGTCAATCAAAAGGATTTTACTTCCTGAATCCAAAACTGTGATTAGATCTCAAATGAGTCAAGAAAAGACAGAGCTATGAGATAAAAGTTTATACTTGGAAATACTCAAGAGCTATTCTATGAGCCGCTATGCTGTGGCTAACAATTAAAAAGATCTATTCTTTGAAATGGAAAACTTTTACCATCTGGTTGTTCTGATCCTTCTATATAGTCTTCTCTTTCTTCTTTGTTGTGTTTCTGAGGAGGACCAGACTGCTCTCCTGAATCTTCACGTAGTCTGTGGGAGAAAAAAGTTCTGGAAATTTACTGATTGATCAATGAATTTGTAAATCATAGAGATAGAAATATCTTCTAAAAAACTGTTTTCACATATTACCAAAACTATTTTCTGTTCCTCAAATCTCACAGTTTTTGAATCTATAAGATAGATAAAGATAAAAATGTTTACCTTTTTTTTCTATTCTCACAAACCTCGACACAAGAAACTTGACTTTCACTGTATTTGTTAGGAGATCTCACATCTCCTGCAGTGTACTTGTTTATTTCAGACATTTCTGAGTCTCTCTGGTTTTCTAAAGTACGCGAACATCGGTCTTTTGAAGATACGACCTGTGCTAAATAAAATGTCTTCATTACATCTAATAAGATCTCTAACTTAAAGTCAAGATGCTAACCTTACAAGATATATTTGATAGTATTCTTCTGTGTTTTCACTTATGATTTTATAGCCTCATCTAACATTACTGAACATTAGCCAACCGTAGACTAGTACAACCTAGTTTCATCTACCATCTAATGAACATTAGCCAACCATAGACTAGTACAACCTAGTTTCATCTACCATCTACTGAACTTTAGCCAACCGTAGACTAGTACAACCTAGTCTCATCTACCATCTAGTGAACATTAGCCAACTGTAGACTAGTACAACATAGCCTCACTTTCTAGGTTGTACTAGTCTACAGTTGGCTAATGTTCAGTAGATGTTCCTCACTTTACATCTACTGAACATTAGCCAACTGTAGACTAAACCAACCTAGTCTCATCTAACATCTAGTGAACATTAGCTAGCTGTAGACTAAACCAACCTAGCCTCACTTTACATCTACTGAACATTAGCCAACTGTAGACTAAACCAACCTAGTCTCATCTAACATCTAGTGAACATTAGCTAGCTGTAGACTAAACCAACCTAGCCTCATCTAACATCTACTGAACATTAGCCAACTGTAGACTAGCATAACCTTGTATACAGAAAGTCAACCATGGACATGCACAACGTAATCTAACTTATTAAAAACCAGTCAACTGTGGACATGCACAACTAACCTAACCTATTAAACATTAGTAAATAGTGGACAAATGTGTATGAGGATAAGAAAAACTTCTTTTGGTGCAAAAGTACGTGAAAGAAAACAGGAGAAACATTAGCCATTAGAAACATTAAAAATAACTATCGCAAACTGAGTTTAAGCATACCGAACATTGGATTTGGTTGATTTTGCTCTTCAGTTATTGTCATTACTCAGAGTAAATACTTTCACTGGAAAAACACATGAAGGTTTTATTAACAAGTAAAATTAGAACTTTAAATCTCACCTCCAATGTTTCAATTGTTTCTGTAGGTCCCTTATTTTCAAAGCTGTGATTTCTCATGTTTAGCCTTTCACTTTGGGAACTGAAGATATAAATGATAGACTTTACATATTAAATACACAACAGATAAGATTTAAATTAGTTTTATTTCAAACTTTTTCAAACACTTCTTTTAAATAAAATCTCAGACAAGAATAATGCTGTCTCACCAAAACAAAAACTAACTTCACTTTTAATACAGAATCCTAACTGAACATAATCCTGGTACCAGTGTTTGAAAACAGAATATTGTAGTACTCCTATCTTATTACTGGTAGTATACAGGTATTAAAATAACTAGGTAAAAACTAAAGATTCCAGATCTGCAATCCTCTGGTCAGCTACTTAGTTTTATCAAATTTATACGTTTAGTAACATCGTAATATTACAGTCAAGCAGAGATCTTAAATGTGTGTATTTCAACCTTAAACTTAAAGTCAATTCTGAAAACAATATACGATGCATAATGTACATCTAAGTTTCTTATGGGAAAAACTGTACGAACTGTCTTGAAATGCCATACTTTGTGTCAGATGTTTGAGTTTCAGGTGCATATACTTCCTGCTGAGATAACGATTGTGAACGGAGCTTTGCCGAACCAAACAGTGCTGAACCTGTGACATATTAATGACATCAGAGTTATAACTCAGTAAACTTAAACCCCAAAAGACAAGCAAACTGGTGTAGCATGTTCTTTGTTGACACGAGTATTTAATATATATATCAAACACTGAAAGAAAATCTCTGATAAAATATCTTAAATCCTTTTCTTACCATAGAGGTATACACAGCACACCAGATATTGCCATTATTATAATTTTTCAGATTGAAACTACTTACATTTATGGTTCAATATACAATAAATCAACCAAATATAAAGTCCTTCAAGTTTTGTTATTGTTTTCAATATTTTCTAATTCATTGGAATGCAACATGTCTGGTCTTGAAAGCATTAAATATATAGTTTTAAAGTTAAACTATTTTACATACCAAAGTCAAAATCAGGATTACAAAACTTTTCTGTTGAGCAGTAGACAACAGCAAGTCCAATATCAGATTCTGGTATTGGCCGCTGGTTCTTCCTAATAAATAATAAATAGAAATACTTATATTTCATATATAATTTCATATACATTTCATATATAAAGGTTGAAGAGTTACCAACAGGTCATACACAACTCATTTAAAAAATACTATAAGAATATAAAAACTGACAAACAAACAGAGTTACTAATAGTGAACTAAGAACTCCTCCAAGTTGCCAATGGGCCATTAAGAAGCCATTCAAAAGTTACCAATGGACAATTGTGGATTTAAGCATGTTTTTCATTGAATCTTGACAGACTTGGAAGGTATCAGTAAATATCTCTTATATAATTATCATGAAAGAAGTTTATGTTTGAAACATTGATTTTTAAGTTTTTTGTAGTTAAACTATCGAAAGTGATATAAATACTTTTGATACAAACGACATATCTGTTTAACAGCTTCACTTAAAATCAATTTGTATACATGTGGTTATAAAATATTAAATAAGACAAATATTTTCATAGCAGTAGAGATGGTCACATGAACACAGGTGTTCATTAGTCTTTCAGTTGTAGAAAGTCTACCACAACTGGCCTGAGGAGGTGTGGTCTTCAGGTGTTCTGTCTTCTATAACAGAAAGACTAATCAACATCCAGCCTGAGGACAGTTGTGGTAGGCTTTCTATAACAGAAAGACTAATCAACATCCATGTGTGGTCTTCTGGTGTTCTGTCTTGCCTGAGGACAGTTGTGGTATACTTTGGTGTGGTCTTCAGGTGTTCTGTCTTCTATAACAGAAAGACTAATCAACATCCATAGAAAGTCTACCACAACTGATTTATTAAAGAACTCTTGGCACCAACTGTAATTACAATTTGTATACACAAATTACTTTTAACTAAAAATGAATATTCTACAATTCAACATTTTATTTATTAATTTTTTCTTAAAAATTTCTTGAATATATATGAGATAAATGTAAAGAAAGGAAAATAAAAAATGTTATAAAAGAAATTCCTGTCCTTTGTCAGCCACTGTTTGCATACTGAGCTTATTTTTTAAAGAGCATTTAAATGAAGTAGGAGGTAAAGTTAACTGTGAATATAAAATATCAATGTTGAATCAAATAAATCAACACAAACTGAAAACAAAACTCATTTTTAAAGTCTTACTTCTTTATAGTTGAAAGAATGGTACGGACATAGTCTGGTGACTGGGAATATTCTACGTTATCAGAATATTCCATGACACAAAGTCCTGGTTGATTCCAAAAACTTGCGTTAACATCTTGCTTTTCTTCCAATAAAATGGCCTTTCCTCCACCCAAAGTTACAGGTAAATGAAGCTTTTTATACTGTGACCCAAAAACAGGTTGTTAAATAGACAATATATATGGTGACAATTGAGTATCTGTTGACTCAGTCTATCAACTACCATGCAAAATTTAATTGTAACAATTGAAATGACTTAGTATTGTACACTAAAATAACAACATATATACTTATATTGACATCAATACAACCTGACATTTGTCACTCATTACCATATATGTTCATTCACTAACTTTGCTCTTGGTTATATACTTTCATTTTATAAAACTCAGGAAAGAAAATCAGTTACTAAGTATAATGCTTGTGAGATGGTTCAGCTTGATGCGAGAAAAAAACAACAACCACAACAGATAAAAGTCACATGCTGTATTCTAAATCAGAAAAGATGTACATATATAACTTTAGTTCTAGGAATGCATTTCTGAGCTGCACATACTCACACACACAATGTAAAACTACATTCATTCACAAAAAAAGATGAGCAAAATTAGAAAATACACTCATTGCAGAACACTGCAAAGGTTATAATTGAATAATTGCAATAGCACCCAAAAAGCATTGGAAGTATTTCACTTCTCAAATTATCTTTTAAATCCAGATTACTCATGAAAAGCCTAGTTTTTTAGACCCACAATTCATGTCTGATTATGAGGTAAGACAGAAACCCATTTATGATAAGAGACTTGCATTACAATTAACAGTGCTTAAATTTTCTTAATCAATTAGCATATGCTTAGTCTTTATTGACTTTCAACTTTACTACTTTATGTACTAAAATACTTGTGATTTATTTGGTTATTCTTTTCACTTGGGGATCAATTTATTACCAGATCAGTATCTGGAAGACAATACTAAAGTGTTAAAGATCAATATAAAAACTTATTTAGTTTTAATTGTATTCAATAACAATGTGTTTAAACAAGATATTTGTACATCCACAGGAACCAATAATTACAACAATGTCCCTAATTGTTATTAATTTCACTAAGAATTTTCATTTGTGAATCCTCATACTAATTCAATTTACACCATTATTGGTGATTTAATTTCTGTTAATAATTGAAATTTCACACAAACCCCATTGTTAATTTACCTTGATGACATACTATTATTGATTTCCCCAGATGGCATAGAAATGTAGTCCACTAGCTGTACACATGAGCATTACTGGGATTTACAAATTGTGTTTGAAAAAAATAAAGGTAAAATTTGCATATTTTATATAAGACATGAAGGGATGAAGTAGCTTGTTGAATACAAAAACACTACTGTTACTAATATATCACAAGAAATAAAGTAGCTTCTTGACTACAAAAACACTTTCAAACTAAATTTTCGACATGTATTTATACCCCAACAGAGGCCTAGAACATTCTACGCACTACAAGATATTATGATGTAATAACAACTGATTAAAACAATGAGAAAAACTTAGAAGGTTCTAGTAATATAACACAATAATCTAACAATCACCAGTTCACATCAACTGAACTATACAATTTATAATTCATAAACAGTTACATAAACAAGCTTGCAATAAATTATTACTTCTAAAAACAACTAAATTTAACACTTGCACTATATATCTAAATTTTAACTCTTGGATTAAACTTAAATGGAAACAGTCATGCATATTTAACAATGCAAATAATCCAAGTGAAACACTAGCAACCAATACAATGCATCATATTAGTAATTCCAAGTATTGAGTTACTAGCAGCCAGTACAACGCACAATATCAGTACGTTCAAGTACTTAATACTAGCATCCAATACAATTTATTATAGAACTAGTTCCAAATATTGAATTGCTAGCACCCTATACACTGTATGATATCAATATATCATTGTACAACCTACCTGCTTAGCTGTAAGAAAAACAAATGTTTTGTCTGTAAAAAGTGTTTTTCGTCTAACTATAACATTAAAGTTGACATTATCTTTGTTTATGGCAGATTCACCAACTGGTGGCAAAAACCTAGTGAAAGAAACAGGTAAAAAATAAACATGTTTTATATTCTTTACAAATGATGCAAATAATGTAAAACACATTCCTACACAATCCCTGCAGTTTATAAATGTTTTATATTCTTTACAAATAATGTAAATCATGTAAAACACATTCCTACAAAATCCCTGCAGTTTATAGATGTTTTATATTCTTTACAAATAATGTAAACCATGTAAAACACATTCCTACACATACCCTGCAGTTTATAGATGTTTTATATTCTTT